GTCATGTTTTTTTATTGTAAAAAATACAAATATCAACAATTTAAATTAATTTACAATATGTTTTTTTTTTTTTTCAAGAGCTTATGGTTTAAAACTTTGGCATGCAAGGCAGCATGTGACATGCAGCTCCTCTTCATTTCTTTCAAAATTCAGAAATTTAGGGGGGCCGGGTTTTGTTTTTAATCAGTATTCAACCCAACTTACCCTTCCTTATCTCAATGACACATTTTAGTTTCAGAGCAGCCCGAAGTGTCAAACAGTCTCAACTCTCAATGCAAAGCACAGAATGCAGTCCAAAAAAAAAAAATAAAACAGTAGCCGCATAAATGACACATCGTAATTTTCGCCGTATAAGTCGCAGTTTTTTTGCATAAATTAGCATGCCTGCAACTTATAAAGTGAAACGGTGTATTTATGTTTTTAACCCCCATACTTATAACCCAATTTTTGGCTGAGATCTGATGATTTCATTCATTCTAACATGGAAAAGATTGAACACTACCATTTTCAGCCACTAGAGGGCCCTGGACTGATATGGCAAGCCAAGTGTCTCATTAATAGGTAAAAGTGGCTATTAATGAGACACTTGGCTTGCCATAAGCAGCCACCTTCATCTTGTTCCAGAACTCCTGGAGCAAACGTCAAATCAGCTGCATTTCTCCACACAACCCAGGTGAAATTCAGCTGATTTGACAACTAAAGTGCATTTATTAAGGAAAAGTTCAATGGCACAACACCGGCCTACATTTCCAGGTTGTCAGCGGTGACACATAATAGATGCATTTTATACAGCAAAGTGACTTTTGTAATGATGTAATGATGCAACTATACGGTGGCAAGTACAGTAAAATTAAGTAGATATGGACACCGTTTAATAAAGTAGCAATCGGCTAAAACTTGGTGGTGGGAAACATACATGCAAGTAAATGAGGTTCAAGTAAAAAAATCTTACCAAAAGCATTTTAATAATTTGCAGAGATTTCTATTAGAAGAGCGTTTTGACTCAGTGTCTTCACTTGAATGTTACCAACACAATTTACTTTATGAAAAGAGCAGCGTGAGACGGCTTATAACAAAAATATACATACAAAGGAAGGAGTGAGTCAAGGCTGCATGTGGATATACACTTGGTCATGATTTAATGTTTGGCTGAGGGGAAGAAGAGTGAAACAGAGAGTGAGACAGACTTTTTTTTTTTTTTGAGACATTGAAGAAGTAGAGGAGAGGAAAAAGTAAAGGATGTTGGCATGCAGGGAGAGGCAGTCTGCAGTGGACTTGTAAATAGCCGGAGGGACAGAGGGATGGAGCTATCAGCGGAGGAGTGATGAAGGTCTGGGATCCGGCCAAGATAAACACACACCAGCCAAGAACGAGCAGCAGCACACACACACACATTTCTGAACTTTACATTACATACATGTACAAATGCACAAACACATGAAGCTGCCAGCGCTTTATATCCATCACACGCCTCCACACACACCTGCAGAAAGCTAAACAGTGTTATGCACGTCTCACCAACCACAACTTCTTGAGTGTTAAGCTGTGTGACAACAGACTGAGCTGTCATTTTGACATCTCCTTTCATCACACACTACATTAGTCCATTTGCTCTGATACCACAGCGTAAACATGCAGAGAAAAGAAATGGCTGCAGTTTTATTTTTAAACGTGGAATAAACAGAGTCAAGGCCCTCAGAAAATCCCTCTCGGCAGAGTGGGCTTAAAAGTTTGTCATTATCATTCATTCTAAAAGTTTTGCCACGTCGCAGATTTAATCGTGAAATACAATATTTGTCCTTTTCCACTGCTTTTGTTCAAAGGCGTGTGTTCGTGTGACTGAGCCTCATCAGTGAGCTGTGAAGCGAGGGATGTCCTGCTCCGTCTTGTCTTCGAAGGCCTTCGTCGAAACCTTAAAATTTGAAACGTTGCCTCAGGCGTGGCGCTCAGAGAACAGTAGAGCTGCAGCTGCTGTGAAGCGTGCCGGACAGGAATGGACAACACAAGTCATGGTCATCCCTCTGTCAGCATCCTGATTCAGGCTGAGATGATGTATGGTCTGTATGAAGGATTATTTCTGCTGAATCTGCTATTAAAACACCTAGAAATGCATTTTGCTCGCAACTAATCAAAGTATGGGTTAAAGCAGATGTGATTATTTTTATGCACACTGGTTTAAATGAAACTAATCAACTTTAAAACAGAACAAGAACAATTTAAAGAAACACAAATATGTCCGCCATAATAGAGCTGAAAAGATTAAGTCCTCTGGAAGTTGATGAAAACTTCATTAATTAAAAGTTTTGTTGGAAAAAAGTGTTTTATTCATGTAAATGTGCATGAGTAGTTAAAAGCATAGTGCAGCTTTTTTATGTGAATTGTGGAGCTTATGAAGAGTTATCTTACCTGTTGCAGGCTTTTGGTAAAACCTAAATTAGGAAAAGAGTTTAAATGTGACCAAACTGATAAGCTAACGGCTAGTCCAAGCTATCTAGCTTGTCTAATTTAACTAAACCGAGCTAAAATGAATAAAAAAATACAGCACGTAAATACAATTAAACTGCTTGTGGCACAATAGAGTGGTTAAGTTGCATCATAAATGAAGACAAAGTACAATTATGTGCAGTATTAAAATCAAATCCAGCCATAACTTGGCAACACTTGACAAGTTGCAGTCCCTGTTTAAGACAAAAATCTAATAAGTACTTCAGTTGAAAAAGAAAAAATCATATTACCCAAAATATGTTGCAGTTTAAACTCCTGCAACACAAGTAATAAAAAAAAAGAAATTGTTCTGCTACTGTAATTGTAAAATATGACACAAAAAGATGCAGGCGTTGAAAACAACCGACTGCTCAATGTTTATTAAAACGTTTTATCCGATAGTGGAAACTTGAAACGTTACGCTTAAATTATTGGATTTTATTGGAAATTGTGTACCATGGTGTTAAAACAAAGATTAAAACAAGCCACTGTAGCAACATACTGTTTTGTTGTGTAAATCAGTTTTGTATTTCTTAACGTTAAGCCTCGTATTCATGTGTAAAAGTTGAGCGCTGTGCATATTTTCATCGTTAAACTGTCAACTGCAATGTGAGTGGGACAAATCTCATGAAAAGTGCAGCTCCTTTTTAAAAGCAACAAAAAGGAAATCTCTACAGAGATGCAATTGTTTCCTATTTGAAGCTCTCAGATTAGTAATCCCTGTGCATGCTGGCTGTAGATGCAGTGGTGGTACTTACAGCCTGGTTGGTGTTTTATGTTGCGACCTGCATGGCGCTTCAAAGCCAACCTGTGCAACACAAGGGGGGGTTTGATAGGACACATGAAAGCAGAACTCGAAGATGTGCCATCTTAAAGGATCAGAGAGGGAAAAGCCAACATAAACAAATCAAACGCACCTACGGTTGAGTTTGTCCGGTGAAGTGCGCCCACATGTTAGGGGCTCTTAATGGCACTGATGCAACAGATGTCTCTGGGAACATTTTACATCATTGCTGCACACTTGTATCATAAATATACAATGGAATACACAAAAAAGTAGTTATTTTTCTTGAAAATGCTTCTATTCTTCTTAAATTGCATCTTTGTTTTGTAACAGGACAGCCTCGTCCTTTTGTTAGTGCCGGCGCTCGTAGTCGTAATATCCATTTAGTCTCTGAACAACAGGAATATTACCAGTTGGGTGTTTTGAACAGAGTATTTTAACATTCTGTTCTCCCGGGCGGGCTGTAGCTCTATAAAAGACCTGTATTGTATTTCTTTCCTGTGCCAGAGCCCCTTTCCTGTGGCGGTGCTGAGTGGAACCCCGATGACCCTCTGCTTCCTGCAAGTCGCATGGAGACGGGCCTGCCACGAGCCCTGGGGCCTCTCTGCCAGCCACCGAACTACAAAACCACCCGCTCAGTCTGTTCGTCTGGATCTCAACTTTCACTCGTCCCTCTAATGATTCGCTTAGTTCTCCATCTTCTCCTTAACTTTCCTTTTTTTTTTTTAACGTCACCTCCCTTTCTTTCTCCTTAACGTTTCCATCACCTCCTTTGTCCCTCGTCCAGGTCAGAAAAAGGTCTGTCGGACATTTCCTGTGCAAGCTGCAGGCTCTGACCACACCTCGCGAAGGGGATTTCTGAAACTACTGTCCGTGACGTCCTGCAGAAACATGAAAACATGCACGCACTGCGTGCACGAAGAGTGTGACGCTTCAATACGCAGCTTGTTTTGGGAAATCGACGGTGACTTCGCTGCACCGAACCTGCTGTTGGAACGATCCAAGGAAAACGTGGGAAAAATGTTGAGAATGAGCAGCGCAGGCGCTTTATCAGCATTACATCTAGACGAAGCAAAAACAGAGCACGCATGTGCATTTTTACATCTATTACAAATGAGATCAAACAAATAGCTGTTAAAATGCGACTCCAATCGTGCACAAAAGCCCCGGGGCAACATCTGCTTGTCTGTACAAGAAAAACCGTCAGATCTTACATTAGCACAGATAACAGGTTCACCCATTATTTTGCACTTAAATGGACTAATAGAATTAAATTTAACAGATTTTTATGCTTTGCATCTCCTTGGACGTTTTGTGTGTGTATTGGCACAGTCCTGCATGTTCCGCGGGTCGGTGTGCCTTTCAGTTGGTCTCGCGTCTCCTTAGATCCAAGGTCACTAAAGTGCATCTGTGCACACGTGCCGGCAGCAATAACACACTTGAATCTCAGCACACAACACCTCTGGTCTTCTTCCAGTCCAGGTCAGAGGCAGGAAGCGAGCTGAGAGAAAGGGAGGAAGCAGAAGCCGCTCTTGCTGGCTGCAGGTACTGACCCCGAGCCTTGACCTCTAACTTGAGCCCGCATCATTCTGGCAATACTGACTGACAACACACAGACGTGCAACTGCAGCTTGAAATACCTGATATTTCAAAAGGTTAGAGAAAGTTTAAGCGTTTCATTTGGACGTGGCAACAGTCATTACTGCACTTTAAAATAACACATTAGACTCCGTTTTTTTTTTTTTTACATTTTTATTATCTGAAGATAATTACAGATTGCTGTTTCTGTTCACTTACATTTACAGAAGTGGTCAGGAAAGATGGATGAATTCATGGATTTTGCTCTAATCGTTCATCCTTCTTTCCTGTATTAAACTCTTCACAAAGCTGTTCAGCTCAGGTCACGAGTCCTGTCCAAATCCACAGAAAATGCTAAAACCAGCAACCTAAATACCAACACCAGAGATTTAAACCCTTATCGTTGTATCAATGTTGAAAAGAACTTCTGCTGTTTTTTGGACAGAACCCGTGACTTTTGGAGGGTGACAGATTTTGTTTCCCCTGAAGCTGCCTCACCAGGTCCAGGAAAAGAGCCTGCTGCCATATTTAGAAGGTTTTAGATCGCCCTGGATGACTGGGTTGGGCTCAGGACGAGGTCTAGAGTTGTGGGGATTCTCTGGAAAGGGTCGCGAGGTTGCCACTTTGGTCACCTATAGATGGAAATCAAAAGATTTGTTAGACATTCAGAGCGACCGCACTGAGCCACCAACATCCTGCAAAGACGTAAAGTGTAATCAGTGCGTCTTGACAGGTCAATGTTGGGAAGTTAAGTTGAAGAAACTGCAAACAAACTCTTTGCTGCAGCGTCAGTAAATAAACTATTGATGTGAACAAATTAGCCGTGAAATTACTGACAAGTGAGCAGCACTGCTCATCGGTAATTTCTGCTGGGAAATCCCACATCCTGGCAGCCTTACTGATGTTACTTTAACAACTGCCGCCTACCCAAACATTCCTGCAGACAATAAACCAAAGAGATCGAGGCATGACCTGCAGGAGTTTTCTGTTAATAAAACTGCACAGTTTCAATTGTACTCAAGACTAACAAAATTATTACTGCTTTATTTATAAACTCACAAAAGTAGCACAGATCATTTTAAAATGTCAGAAATATAAATTACTGTATTTTCCGGCATATAAGTCACGCATTTTTGCATAGATTTGTCAGTCCTGTGACTTGTACACTTTTATTATCCATATTCATAACGCAGTTTTTGACTGGCGTGTCTTAAATTTCGAAGAACTGCAACAGTGAGTCCTTCCGTGCACGCTCGCTTCACTCAGCTGGTGCAGGCGGAGGAACGCTGGAGAGCTAGCGGCTCCGGCTGCAATGGATGGACGGATGAATGGCACCACCCCACCCAGGCAAAATGAAGCGGTTTGACCATTAAATAAATGCATAATAAATGTGACATATACGTTTTTTTCCTCTTCGCGATGCTTTTTTTGACTAATGCAACTTATACTCCAGAAAATACGGCAATTGGTCTGAAATACAATAAAGGAAAATAATTTGTACTGATCATTTTCATGATTGCAAACTAATCAGACAATGATTGGAAGTTACTTATTTTTATTGGCAAACTGATACAGTTGAAACCAAATGTTTACACACCATTTTATCACTGTGGACATTAAATCGGACAAAATCTTTCATGTATGTAAAGATTCCCAAAATTTAGGGATGCACGATATTATCGCATGGTATCGGCCGATATTAGCAATAAAGTTAAATATTGGACATCGGCCATTCCATCAAAATAACTCACAGATATAAAAGGCTTCTGTTTTAAGTTAGTTTTTAATTTAAGAAACTCAAGTATATCTATTATTGCACTACTACTTATGTGTATTTCACTTGTAGCTTGTGAACAGGTTGAGTTTAGATTTGTGAAAATTTACAAACTTGCACTGTTCGAGTGTTGTCATTGTGTTAGAGAGTAAATGTCATGAATAAATTTGACATTAAACATAATCCAAGTTGAAGTGTTACATCATTTTCAGCCCCTTTTTGGCATCTGCATTTGGTAGCAGGCCAAACTGACAAAGACCATTCAGAATAATGTAGTATTTTAATTCCACAGCAGAGAAAGTTACTGTATGTAGTCTCTGTAAGTAGGTCTAGGGGGGGAATTAACAGTATTGGTATCGAATAAATAAGTTTTAACATATTGGCATATTGGATGTCAGCCAAAAATAAAATATTGTGCATCTCTACCAAAATTATTTATAGTTATGATGTTGAGCTTTCTTTTAGAGAATTTATTATAATTTTTATCCTTAAGTCACAGGTTTACATACAGTGAGATCACTGTGCCTTTAAATAATTAGTTAAACCACAGATGGTTAGTTGACAACATTTAGGTTAACTGGAGGCACATTTGTGAATGTGTTTTAAGGCACGCCTCAAACAAACTGCTTCTTTGTGTGACATCATGACAAAAGTTAAAAGAAATCAGTCAGTCACTATATCTGGAAGGGAACCATCAACCTCCACAACTCTGGTTCATCCTTGGGTATAATTTCCAGATGCCTGAAGGTGCCACATTTTCTGTTCAAATAGTTACTGGTCGATAAGATCCAGCAGGAAATTGTTGTGCCAAAGTTTCAGTACAAAGGAACATACACACAAGATAAAATGCAACTATATGCAACCATAAACACCGACAAAATGTTCTGCCATTCAAGAGGAGATGGGTTCTGTGTTCTGAGATTAACGTGTTTTGATACAAAATGTCTGTATTAAGCTCAAAACAAAAGTCAAAGACCTTGTGAAGAAGCTACTGTAGCTGGTAAGACTGTTACTCTCTACAGAGAACTGAATCCTGGACTGTCATGAGCTGAAAGGCCATTCGGCAAGGACAAAGCCATTATTCCAAAAGCAACATAAGAAAGATTAAAGTTTGCAAATACACTCAGGGACGAAGACTCAGCTTTGGAAAAGTCCTGTGGTCTTATGAAGTCAAATTAAACTGGTTCATCATAATGAACCTCGTTATTCAACTTCCCTGCTTGTACGTTTTGAATGCAGAAACCGCAGCTTCAGAATGTTAGATAATAGCAGATTTCTGTGTTTGTCTTTTTAAACACCGTGTAAAATGTAAAAAAATAAAAAATAAATTGCTAAGAGCACAGCGCAGATGCAGTCAGCCAGTACAGAGCCCATCAGTCAAAATCTTCCTGTTCTGAATGCAGTGTCTTCTTAAGACTCACCTTAGATAATTGTCCCAGTTCAGGTCTTACCCAGCCCAGCTTATCAAGGACACAGTTGTCAAAAACGTGCTGCTGTTCACGGCAATGACGTAGTTCCGTCATGCCGTTATAATCCAGACAGGTCCAGTACTCTGTGAAGGACTCAGCACAGTTCCCCTTGATTTGTCTGAAAAGCACAATGCAGATAAACATCTCTATCAAACTTAGTTATGTTATTAATGGCAAAATAAATTTGTCAAGACACAAGGAAATCAAACTGTGTAATTAAGTTCTTTTAAAATATGTCTCTTCCTTTCTAATCCTGCATAAGGTGCTCAAAAATGTGAGAAAAAAAAAAGTCATACATATTCACAAGGATTTTGAATAATTCACTGGTATACAAAGAAGCACCATCACAGCTTTCAGAAACCACACACGAATTATTTTGTAATAAACTGTGCCACAGAAAGTTCATTACATTTATATTTTTAATACAAATGAAAAGTGTTTCCTCAGAATTTAAATTAATAATACAGAATCCAAACAGCTGCATAATTATAGCTTTGACAATTAACATTTACAAAGTGGAAACTAATTTCATTTAGTCGTTTTGACCAGACTGAAGGTTTAAAATGTTTTCTAGAGAAGAACCAAAGTTCATGCTCAGGTCTTTCAGGTCCCTGAGACTCAATGGGATTAACCTGTATAAATAAAGGTTGAATGAATGCTCAATAATCCAGGCATAAAATCCAACAATGTTCAGTCAGTTCATCTGGACGGTTTCTTTTTGAGGATGAGACGTTTTGTCCTTCATCCAAAGGACTTCTTCAATCTGAGGAGCCACCAAACAAAACTGATGCCTGCAAACAGCTTACTCCAGAGTGGAAACAAAGTTTGCTGGTGCTAAGATGGACTCCGGGGCCTGCCCTCTCCCTCGTCAACTCCTCTGAGACAGTCATGCCAAAGTGGTTCAAAACACCAAAGTTCATGCTCAGTA